CGCCTGCACCTGAGCGAGACCCGCCGCTGCCCGATGCGTGCCCGCGCGGGGAGGCCGCTCAGCCTTGCCCGGCAGGGCATGGCGTCCAGGCTGATTCGGTTTGCGCCGCCGATGTGTCGCCCACTCGAATGGGGGGGCGAGCGCGTGGAGAAGGCTGATCTTCTCCTCCAGTACATCATCGACGCGGCTCGCTCGCCGATCGCTTGGAGCCGCAGTTCCCTTCGACCAGGCTGGGGAGCAGCATGTCGACCCCGAGCGCGCGCTTTTCTTCGAGGAGGAGTGCCACTTCGACCCGCCTGGGCGAATTGGCACTCGGCTGCTGGCGAGAAGCGGGCCCGGGGCGGCCGCCGTTTCGGCTGCGGCTGGCCCTCCATCGCGGCCGGCGCCCGCGTCGCCCGGTCGGCGGGCAGGCCGCCGAGCTGACTTGATAAAGTACCTGCGGCAGTGGGGCGGAGTGGCCCGCCCAGAGATCATCGATGCCCGCCGCGGCGGGGCCTGGGCAGTTGCATCCTGGTTCGCTCTTCCCTGTGTGCAAGGGCGCGCAGAAGCAGGGAGTGGTCTTTAACCGAGTCGCGCAGAACGCCGCGGAACTCCCCCTAAAGGGCATCTCGCGTTGGACGCCGAGTGGGTCCATGTTGGTCGACGTGGAGGTCCCGAGGGCCCGCTCGGTGAGGATCTGGGCCGACGACTTGCAGGACTGCTATCCTGCCTTCGACTGCAGCGTGGAGATGGCGTGCGCTAGCGGCATCGCGCTTCGGGGGCCGCCAGAAGCCTGCGAAGGTTTCGCCGATTTGAGGCGCTTGAAGGCCCGCCGCTGGCGCGACAGCGGCCCCCTGCCTGACAGCGTGCTGCCTTGCCACAGCGGCCTCATCATGTGTGGACTCAACGCCCCGGGTTGGGTCTGCGAGGCGCGCGTGAAGTTGCTGGCCCAGGCTCGCAGTGTCTCCCCAGCGAGCCGCATGCTGAACCATCGCCTCCCGCCCGCAGGTGGGCTCTGGGAGGGCGTTGTTTTGGATGGCAATTTCGGCATCGCCGTAGGCCCGCCCGGCCGGGCTCAGAACCGTCAGGCCCTCCGCCGCTCCTTCAGCCAGGGCGAAGGCCAGGCTGTGGCGGACGCCAGGAGCCTCGCGGAGCCGGCGCCTGGTCACTGCGTGCATGGGTTTGATGCTCGCCTTGTGTGGGGCGACCACGTGGCTTGGCCTGCTGAATTCCCTGGGCGCTGCAGTCTTCGCCGCGCTCTTCCGAAGGCCGTTGTTTTCGGCCCTCTTCCACGTGCGTCGGGGGCGCTGCGTGGAGAGGGAGGGGCAGTCTCTGCAGGTATTTGAGCTCAGCCAGGCCGCCTGGAACGGGCGCGCCTTGCTCGCAGTTGTCACCCCTCTCTTGGCCAGGGACCTCGCCGCGGCCTGGGGCCCTGCCTGGTTGGCGTCCGACGCCGACCACGACCACGAGGACGAGCACAACCAAGAATACGGCTCCTACCGCCGCCTCCACAAGATCAGCTACCACGACTATTTCTTCCCTCTCCATCTGCAGCTGCCCACTCGCAATCTTCTTTCCCGTGTCAACTCCTCGTCCACGATCGCAGCCGTGCAACACTCGCACCTCTCCCGCCCCCGTCGTCTCCGCCACGACGGCTTTGACCACAACCACATCGTTGTTCACGATCCCCCCAAACATCACCACGCCTACCACGAATGCGAACGCTCCAGCGGCCACCATCGCCACCAGGATGACTTTCACCAAACGGAGGCGGACAAACTCTGCCCCCTTCACACGATTTTCAACAGCATCGATGCCAGCACCGACTCCAGCATCGATGCCAGCAGCATCGTTGCCAGCAGCACAACGCGTGGCAACAAATCCTGCCCCCCCCACAGACAACAGAGTTTCGGCCGCGCTCGCAGGACAGTCTCCCTGCAGCCGTCCCGTTTGCTCAGGCGCCCCGCGCGCCATGCCGTTCGAGTGCCCCGCCAGCCAGCACCAAAGCCGACGCCTGCGACAGCACCAACGCCGAGAATCGCCGCGCTCTGAGTCCGTGACACCAATGTTTGCGCCTACGCCGGCACCAGCGCCAGAGCCTACACCAGCGCCGACGCGTGCGACCACACTGGGGCCAACGCCAGCACCTGCACCACCGCCGACGTCAGTATACTCCAGCACCAGCGCTTGCGCCCACGTCGGCACCAACGACGGCGCACAGGTAAGCTGACCAGCTAACCGGTGCGCTCTGGCACCAGCACCAACGCCTGCGCCTTCGTCAGCGCCGACGCCATCACAGTCGTCAGCGCCAATGCCAGCATCAACGCCTGCGCCCACGCCGGCACCAACGCCAGCGCCTACACCAGCGGTGACGTCAACCACTGCGCCAGCACCAACGCCGGCGCCTACGACAGCACCAACGCCGAGCATCGCCGCGCACCGAGTCCGTGACATTAACGTCTGCGCCTGCGCCGGCACCAACGCCAGTGCCTACGCCAGCACCGACGCCTACGACTGCACTGGGACCAACGCCAGCACCTACACCAGCGACGACGTCAGTATACGTCAGCACCAACGCTTGCGCCTACGTCGGCACCAACGCTGGCGCACTGGTGAGCTGACCAGCTAACCGGTGCGCACTGGCGCCAGCATCAACGCTTACGACTTCGCCAGCGCCAACGCCGTCGCAGAGGTCAGCATCGACGCCGGCATCTACGCCTGCGCCTATGCCGGCACCAGCGCAAGCGCCTGCACCAGCGGCGACATCAGCCCTTGCGCCCGCAGCAACGCCGACGCTTACGCGCCAACGCCGAGCAGCGCCGCGCACCGAGTCTGTGACATCAATGTTTGGGCCTACGCTGGCACCAACGCCAGCGCCTCCACCAGCGCCGACGCCTACCACTACACTGGGACCAACGCCAGCACCTAAGCCAGCGCTGACGTCAGTATACGCCAGCAACAACGCCTGCGCCCACGTCGGCGCCACGGCCTGCGCAACGGTGAGCTGACCAGCTAACCGATGCGCACTGGCGCCAGCACCAACGCTCGCGCCTTCGCCGGCGACGACACCATCACAGGCGAGCCAACACTACTGGTTTGAGCCAAAAATGGTGCGGGCGGCCGCTCTGCTGGAGAGGCGGAAATTCGGGCAGTTGTTCGTGACGGCACAACACGTGGCAACAAATCCTACCCTCCCACAGTCAGAGTTTCGGCCGCGTTTGCAGGACAGCCTTCCTGCAGCTGTCCCGTCTGCCTGGGCGCCCCGCGCGCCCCGCCACTCGTGTGCCCTGCCAGCCAGCACCAACGCCGAGGCCTACGACAGCACCAACGCCGAGAATCGTCGCGCACCAACGCTCTCGCCTTCGCAGGACGCCGTCACAGACGCCAGCATCAATGCCAGCATCCCCGCCTGCGCCTACGCCGGCACCAACGCCAGCGCCTATGACAACACCAACGCGGAGCCTCGCCGCGCACCGAGTCCGTGACATGAACGTTTGTGCCTGCGCCTGCACCAACGCCAACACCTACACCAGCGACGACGTCAGAATGCGCCAGCGCCAACTCCTGCGCCCACGTCGGCACCAAGGCCAGCCCACCGGTAAGCTGACCAGCTAACCGGTGCGCACTGGCGTTGGCACCAACGCTTGCGCCTTCGTCAGCGCCGACGCCATCGCAGACGCCAGCATACGCCAACACCAACGTCTGCGCCTGCGCCGGCACAAGCGCCAGCGCCTACACCAGCGGCGACGTCAGCCCCTGCGCCAGCACCAACGCCGACGCCTACGACAGCACCAACGCCGAGCATCGCCGCGCACCGAGTCCGTGACATGAACGTTTGCGTCTTTGCTGGCACCAACGCCAGCGTCAACAACAGCGCCGACGCCTACGACCACACTGGGACCAACGCCAGCGCCTACACCAGCGCCGACGTCAGTATACGCCGGCACCAACGCTTGCGCTCGCGTCGGCACCAACGCTGGCGCACCGGAGAGCTGACCAGCCAACCGGTGCACAATGGCGCCGACCTCAACCCTTGTGCCTTCGCCAGCGCCGACGACATCACAGAGGTGAGCATCAACGCCAGCATCTACGCCTGCGCCGACGCCGGCACCAACGCCAGCGCCTACAGCGGCGACGTCAGCCCCTGCGCCAGCGCCGATGCTTGCGCAGCATGGGTTGCGGCACCGACTCCAGTCTTGACTCCCTCACCGGGTCCCGCTGCAGATGCCGCATCGCCGTAGCAGGCAGGAGAATGGGTATCAGGTGCAACGCGACCGGCACCAGGTGCTGCATGACGGGTGCCACTTCGCCAACGTCGATTTCTGAGGCTGTCCTTCCTCGTCCCTCCTCTCATGCATGTAGTTTTTTCACGGACGTGATGTTGCCTCGGCGATCGGGGCGGCGCTTTTGCTTGGCCATGGCGTGCACGTGGGCGCATGCTCCCCCTTTCGGGGCCGCCCCCGTTCCGCTTCCGAGCGGGGCCGTCTCCACTCGCTGCGGAGCTGCTGCCCGTGAAGTTCACGCACTGATTAGCTTTGACTTGCCTCTGTTTGCCTTCTCTGTGTCTCTCGGTCTCTCTCTCTCTCTCTCTCTCTTTGACTCTCCCTTGTCCTCCGCCTTCCCTTGGTCTCGAGATTGAGCTGTTTCGGGCGCGGCCTCTAGCGCTGTCGATCGTTTCTCTTGCAATTCATCATTCTGAACTTGCGTGTGAGGCGGTGGAAGAGTCCATGGCGCTGTGCGCACGCAGGCGTAGAGGCTGGCTCGACTTTTTGTTTCCCCCCCTCTTCCTCCTTCTGTTGTTCCGCCATCCTCTCGCGGTGCCCCTGTACCTTAACGCGATGTTGTATGCGGCGCGTTAGTTGTGATAGGAATGCTTGGTTAGAGGACTGGTACCATAGTGTGCATAAGACCTTCGGCTTCCGCCGCGAGTCAGAGGAACTCTTCGCCCCCAGGTCGCGTTTAAGGGGCCTTGGCGGCTGCGTCTTCATCGTGGGTAAAGAAGAAAGGAACTCGGCGAAGCGATGCCGGCAGATATTGCCCGCGCGGCGAGCCTGGCCGAGAGCTGCGCGGAGGCGGGCGGCGCCGCCCAGCCAGACCTGCTCGAGCTGGCCGAGCTCGCCCCGCAGCCCGACGATTGGACCGTCGGGGTCCTGCTCCGCCCCGTCGCGTTCGCCGCTCTCGCGGCGCAGGGTGGCCCGAGGCGCGTCGGCTTCTAGCTCTCCGTCGACAGTCAGGTCGGCGGGGAGAGGTGCTTCGCGGCCGACGAACGCGACGGCGAGGGCGCAAGGGGCGACGAAGTCGACGCAGTCCGCGAGGCTGCCACGCAGGAGCGGGCAGGTGGCCCGCGCGGCGCCTGCGCGGCGGGCAACGCGGACGCTCGGAGGGAGAGGTGCGCCTCGCGGGCCTTGGGGGCCAATGGCCCCGCCCGCCAGGTGGCCCAACCCAGGGGATAACTTGGCCGCTGGCTGCGCCCGCAGGGGGGGCCCGCGCGCCGCTCGGGGTGGCAGGGGCCAGCGGCGGGCAGCGCCGAGGGAGCGGCAACTCCTCGGCAGGTCAACGTACCGCGCGATGACCTTCAGAGCGCCCTCGGGGATTTCAAGAGCGAGCTGTTGGATGCCATCGGGGGCCAGCTGAGGGACCTCTTGCGGCAAATCGGCTGTGTCGCGAAGAGGAGCATGGAGGCCCGTGGGCTCGCCACTGTGGCAGCTCCCCCTGCCCTGTCGGGGTTGCCCCCTCGGGCGGGGCCCGCCCTGGGCGCGCTGGTGCGTGCGCCCCTGGCCCCGAGCCGGCGCCCTTGCCAGAGCTCGCCCGCTGCCCTGCCCAGGGCGGCGGCGCATCTGTCAAGGCCTCGGCCAGCCCTGGCGCACGTCGAGACCGGGGCGACAGAAGAAGCCCTGGCGGCGGCGCGCAGGTTGCCCCAGCGGGCCGACGGACCTCCCCCGCGCGAGTAACGTCGCCCACAGAGGGCCCCGTGCACGGGCGGCCGACCCCGACCTCGAGGGCCTCGTCAAGGCTGGCGGCCGCGTGGCAGACGAGGCCATCCAGCTTGCAGTGGCGCGGGCGCTGGAAAGGGTTGGCAGACCTGAGAAGGCGGGGGCGAGGGTGGGCGGGCCCACCCTGGGCGACTTCCTCTTCGGGGACACAGCCTCGAGCTCCAGGGGCGGTCGACCCGGTGGCCTGGATCGATGGGGCGAAGGGCGCCGCAGGTCTCCTGCCGCTCGCCAGGGCCATCGAGCTTGAGCCACAGGAGTGGCCCGCCAACGTCGATGCCGCGGCCTTCGCCGCGCTCGGCTGCGACGCCACTGGCATGGCATGGGGCATGGCGCTCCATGGCAGGCAGAGGATCAGATTCGGGCGCCTCGAGGACCGCGAGCGCTTCTGGGATGTGCTGGCGTCTCTGCACGCGCTCCGCAGGTCCCAACAGTGCGACCTCCTCGGCGCCCGGGTCGTCCAGTTCCTGAAGGCCGCGCAGTAGTCGGTGACTGCGAACGGCTCTTGGAGTCTGGCCTGGCTGATCTCTGGGCTCCCAGATCCACGGCCCTGATCGGGTCTGGCGGCAAGAGGCCCGGCGCGCCCCGCAGAGTTCGCTGCTTCGGACCGCGGCAGCAGGGGCCGCGTCTGGGACAAGAAGTCCAAGGAGTGGACCAACAAGAAGGAACATGACGTCGGCGGTGGTGGCGGGTGAGGCGAGTGACCGTCTCCAGATGGTTCCGACAGCTTATAGAAGCGCCGAGGGGGGCGCGCCCAGGAGCCGGGCCTCGTGCGACTTTTCCTACAACTCCGACTCCGCGGGCCGCCGTTGGTTCGGTGACCTGCGCTTCTTCTGCGTCTGGCCTGGCGACCTCGTTCTGCGCCCTCCTTCGGGCGGGGGCTTCCACGCCCCGCCTGCTCAGCTAGAGGTTCTCGGGGCGGCGCCGGTCAAATCGCTGGTCAAGCGTGCGGTCGAGGGCCCGAGCATGCGTGGTCCGCGAATTCCATTGCTCATAGATTTGGAGGTTGTGCAAGGCGTCGCTGTCCGAGGTCGATCGTCCAGCGGGATCCTGAACAGGATCTTTGCCATGGCTCTTCCGTTTTTGTTGTCCGACGGGTGTTCCCTCCTCTCCTCCCTGGTGCGAACTTCCCGCGATCCTGCAGATGATCCGACAGGAGGTGCTGAGATGCGTAAGGCCAGGCCGCGCCCTCCCGAGGTGATGGAGTCCATCGCCTCAGTCGAGAAGCCTTGATGCTGGGCTGCGCGCGTGCGTCGCCCATTCTTTGGACGGCGACCGCCAGTCACTGCGACGCCATCAGCGGGCCGAAGGCCCCTCTGAGTGCAGCCCCGGAAAGCCGCGGGTGGATCGCCATCAGCCGCGACGCGCAGCGCGGGCCTCTCGAGGACCTCACCGACCCCGCCGTACTCGCCCGGGAGATCGAGCTCATCGTGGGGGCCAGGCCGCCGGCGGGTGCTTTGGGGCCGCCCTGCGGGGACTTCGCGCGATTCATGAACTCGTGCTCGCGGTCTTCCCGGACGAGCCAGCGGCCGCGGGGGCCGCGGCAGCGCCCCGAGGCAATTGCGGGCGCGGGGGCCGCCTCAGCAGTCTGTTCGGTGGGCTCTCCCGGAGCTCCAAGAGGCCCTGAGCGCGGACCCGCTCTACGAGTGCGTCATGGCCTGGTGCGCGCGGGGCAGGCGATGGGAGAAGACTGCCAGCTGGAAGGGCCGACGGGCGTTCCCGCCCCTGCTGACGAGGCGGTACTTCCGCAGCCACCGGCGCCTCGTCTTGGAGGGCAGCATGAAGAGCGACGACGGCGTCTGGCCGCGCCTGACTTCGCGGGGCGGACGGGGCTTCCGAGTGACAGTCAGGCCGCCCGCTGCCCGTTGGTGCGTCACCATGCTCGGCAAGTGGAGCCTGTGGCTCCATAGTCGAGGCCTGCCCTGCCCCGACGACGTCGCGCGTGGCGTCGGGCTGCTCAGTGCCACCCTCGCTGCCTGCATTCAGTGCCTCTACGACGCAAAGGCGCCTTATGCTTGGATATCCGAGACGCTCGTTGGTGCCCAGGTCCGTTGGCCCCAGGCCCGCGGCCATCTGCGCCCGGAGTGGACCGCGGCGGCTTGCTGGCGCAACTTCTAGCCGGTCGAGATGCGCGCGCCCGCGCCTGTCGAAGCGCCCTTGGCCCAGGCCGTGGCTGTCCAAGGCGGGGAGGGGTCAGGGCAGCGGCGCGCCTGCTCCTCGCTTTTCATTCACTGTTGCGGCGCAGCGATGCCGCGAGCGCCCTGGGGCAGCATTTCGTCTTGCCTTGGGGCCTGGGAGACGATGTTAACGCAGGCGCACTCGTGCTGCTCCCTGCTAAAACATCAGACCGATGGCCAAAGTTCCAGAGCGTCCTGATCGACGATCCTGCGCTGCTGGACTTGATGGGGCACCTCTTTGGCCCCCTCTTTCCGACGTCGGCGCTGTGCCTGAGACAGCTGCGTGGGCCGACCCAGAGGTTCATTTACTTCGGGGGCCTCGTCGGCATCGGCGACTCGCCGCGGCCCTTGGGTCGCCGCGAGGCGGCGAGGCCACGCATGGCTTCCGCTCGTTGCCGAACCTGGGGCTGCCGCAGTGCCGTGGGCAACGTGGACTGCGAAATCAATGCGTCACTATCTCCACCAGATGGGCGCCGCCCCTCTGCCCCTCGCCCGCATGACCTCCGGCAGCCGACAACGCGTCCAGCGCATTGGTCAACTCGCCGCAGATGCATGGGGCGGCGGATGACTGCGTCGCCAACGCACCCGGGGGGCAAGACGCATATCAAGCACGTGGCAATAACGGCAAAGTTGGCGCATATTGAGACCTCTCTGTATTTGGAGCTCTGCGAGGCCGAGCGGCAGAGACAACGCCGCAGCGCGCCGCCGCCTCTGGCCGCCCCTTCGGCAAGTTCTTCCCAACCGTCCTGTGGTGTTGGGTCTTCGTTTTGAAGGGACAGCGCCCTCCTCCTCCTCCTCGTCCCTCCCCCCCCTCTTCCCTTCTCCCAGTCCTTGCCCTTGCCTTCATGATGTTTCTGTTTCGGTGCACCCCTCGCGCGTTTCGCGGCCCCATAAGGGGGCCCCACCTAAGGTCGCAGTGGGGCAGTCCGCATGGCGCCGCCGCCCCATTTTGGCACGCCCTCACACGTTTCGTGGCCCCACAGGGAGCTCGAGCTCAGGTCCCAGTGGCGCAGTTCGCATGGCGCCGCCGCCCGATTTGGGCGCGCCCCTCACACGCTTCGTGGTGCCGCAGGGAGCTCCCCGCAAGGTCGCAGTGGCGCAGTTCACATGGGGCCGCCGCCTTATTTTGGCGCACCGCTTCACACGTTTCGTGGCCCCACAGGGAGTTCAACCTAAGCGAGGTCCCAGTGGCGCAACTCGCATGGCGCCGCCGCCCCATTTTGGCACGCCCCTCGCACGTTTCGTGGCCCCATGAGGGCTCCACCTGAGGTCCCAGTGTCGCAGTCCGCATGGCGCCGCCGCCCATTTTGGCACACCCCTCCCGCGTTTCGCGGCCCCATTCAGGGGGCTCCACCTAAGATCCCAGTGGCGCAGTTAGCATGGCGCCGCCGCCGCCGCATTTTGGCACGCACTTCGCGCGTCTCGCGACCCCAGAGGGCGCTCCACCTCAGGTCCCAGTGGCGCAGTTTGCATGGCGCCGCCGCCCCATTTTGGCACACCCCCCACACGTTTCGTGGCCCCGAGGGGGGCTCTACCTGAGGTCGCAGTGGCGCAGTTCGCGTGGCGCCGCCGCTCAATTTTGAGACATCCTTCGCACGTTTCGTAGTGCCACAGGGAGCTCCACCTAAGGTCGCAGTGGCGCAGTTCGCATGGCGCCGCCGCCCGATTTGGGCGCGCCCCTCGCGCGCTTCGTGGCCCCATAAGGAGCTCCACCCAAGGTCCCAGTGGCGCAGTTCGCATGGCGCCGCCGCCCCGTTCTGGCACGCCCCTCGCACATTTCGCGGCCCCATGAGGGAGCTCCACCTCGGGTCCCAGTGGCGCAGTTCGCATGGCGCCGCCGCGTCATTTTGGCACGCCCCTCTCACCTTTCGTGGGCCCGTGTGGAGCGCCGCGCCTCCGAGGTCACCCGAACGGGCTTCCCGATCTCGCGCAGCAGGGCCATCGCCGCGGCGGCGTGCCAGGGGCGCGCCATGCGCGAAGGCGACGGGGCGAGGGGGCGGCGCCCCCTGGGCAGTTTATTTTCTTTTGGCCTGAGCGGTCGGCAGCCAGACCGTCTCTCGATCCCGTGGACTCGCCCTGAGCCGCCGGCTGTCCGGCGCGCTGCTCCCTCGGCTGACGTCGCCCACGCGTGATCCTGGACTGCGGCCGCCGCGAGGTGGGGAACGGCAAGAGGGAGGAGGACGACTGGTGGCTGGAGCTCTACGTGCTGCTGCTCTCGCGCGCCACGCGCCGCGAGGACCTCCTGCTCACGCGGGCGCCGCGCATCGAGTTCTTCCTGGCAGCGCCGCCGGAGGGCTTGCGGAAGCAGCTGGAGCAGTTCGCCGCGCGCGCGAAGCGGCGCAGGAGGGAGGCGGCGGCCCTCGCCAGGGAGCTGAGCTTCACCGAGTTTATCCGCGAGGCTTGACCTGAGGAGCGGCCCGCCCGAGCCTCGCCATCTCTCGACGGTCTGACTGTTTGGCCTCGCGCCGCGGGCGACCCGCGCGCGTTGCTGGGGCCCTCTCGGGGCGACCAGCGCGCGTCGCGGGAATTCCGCTCTGCGCTCTGCCCAGAGCCTCGCTTGCCCCCGTCGTCGCTCTGCCCAGCGGCCACAGCCTTGCCCGCTATCAGCCGGCCAGCTAGCTCTCTCTGCTCCGCGCAGCGGACGACCCGCGCGCGTCGCCGGGGCCCCTCCGGGGCGACCGACGCGCGTCGCAGGGGCTCCGTGCGGCGCCGCGCCCGCAGCCTTGGACACTGGTGTGCACGGGCAAAGGGAGTAAAATAACGGGAAGGAAGCGGGCGCGATCCTCGTGAGGAGCGCGCCGACATGGGCGTCGCGGCGCGCGGGCGCTGCTGTGAGTCTCCATGGGGGGCTTCCTGCGGCGGCCACGCTCAGTGTCACGAGTATTCAGGGTCAGGCATACGTGAACCATTCGCATTCTCTCTCTCTCTCTCTCTCTCTCTCTCTTATATATATACACATGTACACACCAGGCGTGGCCATGCTCGCATTCATGCAAATATATTCGCTCGCGCGCAGACTCATTCACATTCAGATCCACTCGCACTCAGACTCACCCGCGCCCTGTCTCTGGCAGTTCGACCTATCGTCTTCGTTCGTGTTGCGCACCCCGCCACGCAATTCGGCGCACCCTTCTTACGGTTCGTGGTCCCATAGGGGGCGCCACCGAAGAAGATATTCACAATTGCGGTATTCACAAGTGCATATGGTTGGGTCCTTCGCCAGGCGAATTTCTCGCAGGCTTCACGCGCGGGGTGCTTTGGATAACGAGCGTCGGAGTTCATGTGAGCGTAGCGGTTACGATATTTGAAGGAAACGATCTGCAGCTTTCTCGCCCTTCGCCCCACCCATGCGAACAGCTCTTGAACAGGTTGAGAGCCCTCTGTCTTTGAGGCTCTTTGAGGCTGCGCGGCACAGACAACGCCGCAGCGTCGCGACGCCCCTGGCCGCCCGTTTGGGTATTTTCTTGGCAAACTTCACACGCGGGGTTCTTTGGATAACGAGCGTCGGTGATCACGTGAGCACAGCGGCTATGATAGTAGAAGGAAGCGATTTGCAGCTTCTCGCCCTTCGCCCCCACCCTCGCGAACAGCTTTTGAACAGGTTGAGGGGTCTCTGTTCTTGGGGTTCAGTGAAACCGCGCGGCGGAGACAACGCCGCAGCGCCCCGACGCCCCTGGCTACCCCTTCGGCCAGCTTTCCTTGCAAGTTTCACACATGTGGTGCTTTGGCGCCGGGTAGCATGATGATAATGATGACGATACGGTGATCATGATGTTGATGGTAATGCTGATGATGCTGACGATGCTAGTGATGTGGATGATTCTGATTAGGCTGATGATGGCGATGATGATGCTGATGATGATGATGATGAGGATGATGATGATGATGGCGAGGGTGATGGTGATGATGATGCGGATGATGAGGATGATGATGATGACGATGATGATGATGCTGATGATGATGATGATGGTGATGATGATGATGGTGATGATGATGATGACGATGATGATGACGATGATGATGATGATGATGATGATGATGATTAGGAGGAGGAGGAGGAGGAGGTGATGATGATGATGATGATGGTCATGATGATGATGATGATGATGATGATGATGATGATGATGATGATGATGATGATGATGATGATGATGATGATGATGATGATGCTGCTTCTGATGCTGATGCTGATGCTGCTGATGCTGCTGATGATGATGATGCTGATGATGATGATGATGGTGGTGGTGGTGGTGGTGATGATGATGATGATGATGATGATGATGATGATGATGATGATGATGATGATGATGATGATGATGATGATGATGATGATGATGATGATGATGATGATGATGAATGATGATGCTGCTGCTGCTGAGGAGGAGGAGGAGGAGGAGGAGGGAGGAGGAGAGGAGAGGAGGAGGAGGAGGAGGAGGAGGAGGAGGAGGAGGAGGAGGAGGAGGAGGAGGAGGGGAGGAGAGGAGGAGGAGGAGGAGGAGGAGGAGGAGGAGGAAGAAGAAGAAGAATAATAATAAGAAGAATAAGAATAATAATAATAAGCATAAGAAGAATAAGAATAAGAAGAAGAAGAAGAAGAAGAAGAAGAATAAGAATAATACTAAGAAGTATAAGAAGAAAACGAATAAGAATAATGATAAGAAGGAGAAGAAGAAGAATAATAATAAGAAGAATAAGAATAATAATAAGAATAATAATAAGACGAATAAGAATAATAATAATAATAATAAGAAGAATAAGAATAATAATAATAATAAGAATAATAATAATTAGACGAATAAGAAGAATAAGAATAATAATAATAAGAATAAGAATAAGAATAAGAAGAAGAATAATACGAATAATAAGAATAAGAAGAATAATAAGAATAATAATAATAAGAATAAGAATAAGAATAAGAAGAATAATAAGAATAATAAGAAAAAGAATAATAATATTAAGAAGAATAATAATAAGAATAAGAAGAAGAAGAGGAGGAGGAGGAGGAGGAGGAGGAGGAGGAGGGAAAAAAGAAGGAGGAGGAGGAGGAGGAGGAGGGAGAGGAGGAGGAGGAAGAAAAATATGAGGAGGAGGAGGTGGAGGAGGAGGAGGAGGAGGAGGAGGAGGCAGGGAGGATGCGGAGGAGGAAACGCAACAGGAGGACGGGGGGAAGGAATAGGACGGGGTGGACGAGGAGGCGGAGGAAGACGGGGAGGAGGTGGAGGGCGAGGGGGACAAGGAGGCGGAACAGGACGTGGAGACGAGGAGGGCGGGGACGACTACGAGGCAAAGGCGCAGGAGGACGAGGAGGAGACGGGAGGACGAGGAGTTCGAGATGGGAGAAGCAACGCGTGCATTGTTTTATACGACGACCTGACACATGATATTTCGAAAGTCATCGTGCCCTCGCTGCCGATCCGCGCGCACCATTCTTGAATCTCCATCCATTCACGCGGGTGGAGGCAGCCTGGTGTTGGCACTTCCGCGGTCGAATATCAACCTGAGCATCGATTCGCGCACTTATCAGCCAGAAGCCAGCGGTTTCACCATTCCGTTCCTGCCCCCTCCTTTTGGCGGACGACGACCCAGGCGTTTGTTGTTTGTTTTTTTCTCCGCCCGCGGAGGGGCATCATTCTGGATCCCCTTTCGAGGGCCCCAAGGCCCGAAATCAATCCTTCGGATGTTTGGGCCCTCCCCGAACGACAAGTCCTCGGGCTTCTCTCGGGGTGCACTCTGCCAGGTCCAGGGCCCAAGGGGAATCCGGCCGTGGCGGCGAAAAGCCCCCCGACGCCCGACGAGAACAAAAGCGCCCTGAAACTTTTGATCCTCGATGCTTGAACCTCGAACGTCGGCCTGGGCACTGGAGCGACGGCGCGCGGCGGCGGCGGCGGCGGCTGGCGACGACCAGTGCCCCTGCTTCGCGAATGGTTGGCGTTACAAAGATAGCGTGCGATGTGGCGCCGGCCCGCTCATTACACGCCATCCCCCACCTTGGGTAGAGCGTGCACCGAGGATGCTTTGGCAGGGGGATAGCGTGCACCAACGAGGCCCTCGTATGGGGGATAGCGCACAGAGAAAGGGCCATCGCGGGGGGCTTGTCTTAAAGGGGTAGCTTGCTTTTCGGAGCTCGATGTTGCGCGCGATCTTTGCGACGCCAACTGTAAGAGTGACCCTTGGCCAGGGTGACCGTTGGTGCGGGCTCAGGCCCCCCCAGCATTGGCCTGCGTGCTGAGACTTGGCCGTCCGCGGGGCCCGTGAAACCGCGCACCAGAGGCACCCATGCCCAGGGCCACTCCCTGCGAGCAGCCGACCTACACTGGCCCCGCAGGCATGGCCGCCGGCGAGCCCCTCTGGTCGGACGGCGGCGGGTCGGAGTCGGCGTCTGCGCCGGGCTCTTTCCCGATCGGCAGCGGCGGCGCCATATGGCCGCGGCGACGCCGCGGCGACGAGAGCCGACGCCGACGTTGTCGCTGTCGACGTCCTCGTCGTCGTCGTGGTCGCGGTCGCGGTCGTGGTCGTGGTCGTCGTCGGTCGCGTTCGTGGCCATGGTCGTGGGTCGTGGTCGTTGGTCGTGGTCGGGGCCGTGGTCGTGGTCGTCGCCGCCGACTTCGTGGTCGTGGTCGTGATGGTCCCGTCGGTGGTGGCGGTGGCGATGTGGCGGACGAAACACGACACATAGGGAACTTTCCTCTGCCGTGGGGGGCTGCTCGTGCCAGGATTTTGTGGGGATCGTGCCCGCGGGTGCCGCCATGGGGGTGTAAGATGTCGGGCCGCCCTAGGGCAGGTGCGCCCCCTCTCACGGCAGAGAGGTTTCATTCAATTGAGCGCTTTGGGGGAGCAGACGCCGCCGCCCAATTTCTTTTCGGAACACGGAGTCAGTGGTTGGGTAGTGAAGGTGGATTCGGGGAGCCCGCGCAGCGGAGGGCGCGACAGGGGTTCAATCTGGCACAAGGGGGTTCACGAGTGTCCAGAAGCTGGCCACCCAAATCACACAACAAAGGTGGAATCAGCGAAAGAAGGGGACATTGATATCTACATCGACTTTTCAGATTGGTCCCAGGGGAGGGGGTTTGGGGGATCAGGAGAGCCTTTGGTTAGATTGGGTCGTGGACAAGAGGATTATTTGGGAGGCTCCGTGAAATATCTTTGGGGGCTGCTCGGGGGCCTCTTAGCGGCCTCTCTTGGGACCTCTTAGCTGCCTTTGGGGCCTCTTAGGGGTGTCGTGGGGGTCTCTGGAGGCCTCTTGGGGCCCCCGGGGTCGGCCCTGGAGAAGAGCCCCAAACACGTGGAGAGTGCTTCGAAAGAGATCCAAGAAGGTGATCATGTTAGGGCCTCGCCTGTAACTTTAGGATTCCCCGGCCCGCAGCCTCGCCTGTTTCCCTCTACTCTTACAGTCGGCCTTCAGGCCGAACCTCGTGGCTGCTACTTGGACGTGGATTGGACTACCACCCCAGGCCGCTACTGACCACCCGGTGGCACAGCGTTGCACATCGACTTCGTGGTCTTCCTCATCTCCTGGGCCTCTCCTTACCAGTCGGTGGCACCTGGTGCACTTCACCTTCCTGGTCTTCCTCTACCTCACGGACGTTGACTTGCTCACGGCCCTCCTCACGCAGCACTCGAGGATGGTGTTCTTGGCGCGCCGACGACGGCAACGCCAATCCACTCTCCCCCTGGGACTTCGCCTTCTACTCCTGTCCATGGCGTACCTTGTCCTGTGCAAGATCTTCGGCGCCGCCTGTACTCTGCGCCCTCCGGCCGCCTGAGGCCCCGCCCGCCCGCGCCTTGTCTCCCCAATTAGGGCTTCGCGCGCCCCGCAAATCTCTTAACCGGAAGGGGCCCGCTCCCGACCCGCCGACTAAAAACTGTTTCCCTGTATTCCCCCCTGCTTCGTAGCTTCTTGGGGCTCGAGCAGGCTGCGTTTTGTTGTTGTTGAATTCTCATTTCTGAAGAATAATTATTGTTGATCCCCCCCCACCGGTGCACATTGTTTTTTTTTGGTCAGGGAAAGTCTTCCTGCTCAAACTGGGCCCCTGGCCCCCGGGTTACGACGACAACGGCTCCCGCCTGAGACTTCCTTACATTTTAGCCAGGACGCCCGCTCCCGCCCGAGATTTCCTCGCATTTACTTTCGGGAATCACGCTCTCGCTTGTGACTTCCTTACAATTTATTCAGGAGTCGCTCTCCCGGCGCTCTGGAGTCGCGCTCTCGCTGGAGACTTGCTTGCAGCTTACTGAAGAATAACCTTGCGTTGGAATTTCTTGCAATTTGCCCAAGCGCCGCGCTCCCGACACCCAGGCACCCAGGAGTCGCGCCCGTTGTGGCCCCATGTGCATGCCTTTCGTGGCCCCGCTGTCGCAATTTGTGCCCCCCTCATTGTCCTACGTGGCCCAGTTGCCACCCTCAGTGGCCCCATAGTTGCCTTCTGTGGCCCCGCATTATCTGCCCTTCGTGGCCCCTGCTCGTTCGCGCTCTTCGTGGCCTCATACGCATTCCCTTCGTGTCCCCGCTGTCGCCCTTCGTGGCATACTTCGTGCCCTTCGTGGATCTGCTGTCGTTCTCTCTCGCTCTCGCTTTCGCTCGTCGTCGTCGTCGTCCGTCGTCGTCGTCGTCGTCGTCGTCGTCGTCGTCGTCGTCGTCGTGGTCGGTCCCCTGTCCGTCCCTCTTGGGGTCGGGTCGACGGTCCGCGGCCGCCCCGCCGATCAGCGCTGCCGCTGGCCAGGCCGACGGTCCGCGGCCGCCCCGCCGCTTGCCGGGGCCCGGCCTGCAGGGAAGAAAGGTATACCCCCCAAAAGGGGTTCGATCGAAGACGAAGAGGGCGGGTATCGAGGGTTTGGGAAATACGCGTTATTGGACACTCGAGCATATAAGGGCGAACAGTCTTAAAATTGTTGTTGTTGTTGTTGTTGTTGTTGTTTTGTTGTTGTTGTTGTTGTTGTTTGTTGTTGTTGTTGTTGTTGTTGTTGTTTGTTGTTGTTGTTGTTGTTGTTGTTGTTGTTGTTGTTGTTGTTTCTGTTCCTTTTTTGGGGGGGCGCAGAGGTATGCCCTGAACCCAGGTTCATAGTAGTCGTCCTCGTTATCGGCATGGTCCCGATGCTCGCGGGCTTCTTCTCCTTGGGGGAGATTTGGAACCCGCGGTTTGCGCTCCCCGGCCTCGGCCACCAGGTGGTAGCGTCGGGGGCGGAGGGCCTCGCGGCGTGGGGGACGGCGGGCCCCGCGTTCTGCTCGGCCCGGATCCGCTCCATTCGCGTCGGTAGTGAGTAGTCCCGGACCTGCCCACGTGCGGTGCGGATGTGGATGCCGGGGAATGGATTTTCGTGGCGCAGGCGCTCTATCAGGCCGCGGGAACTTTCGGGGCGCTTCCTGGATCGGACTCGTCATTGGCGCCGCGCCTCCCCGCCGATCTGCCGCAACTATTTGGCGGGGCGGTGCTACCATGGGGGCCGCTTGCGCAAGGCGCCGCCGAACCGGCGGGGGAGCGCGCGGCCGGAGACCCCGCCCGCGGCGTGGACAACGCACGGCGGCACCCGCGGCCAAGAAGGGACGAGGAAGAAGGGGGAAATATAAGCAAGGCGAAGGCAGGCCCCGAAGGCAGGCGGAGGAGCCGGCGTTCCCTGGCTTCTCGATAGGCCGCATCTGATGCGCGCGAAGGACAAGTGCTGCCCGACATGCGACGCTCTGGCATTCGCCGAGCACTCACGCAACCTCAGCTGCGACCCGTGCGAGGATGGCCCCCTGATCCCGCTGCCCGAATCCCCGGGGGATGAAGGTGCGCCCCAGACCCCCGGCCCGCGAAGCAGATCGCCCCGTTGCCGCGTGTCCGCGTCGGCAAGCTGCGCGCGAGGGGAAGGCCGGGGGGGGGGGCCTTGGCAGAGGTGCGCGCGTCGGGGGCGGAATTTGGAAGGACAGCGGGGGCCCCGCCACTGGGCAGCGCGCCCGCGATGTGGGGCTCGGCCGCAGGGCGAGAAGGAAGCCCAAGCGGCGCCCAGATCTGGAAGGAAAGCGGGTGATGGGGAAGCCCCGCTTCCAAGCGCGGGCCGCCTCGGGGCCTCTCCTTCGCGGCGGCAGCGGATTCGCGTGGCGCGTCGCTTGCCGCTGGCGCCGCCTGGGCGATGGAGTGCGCGTGGTGGTGCCCCCCCGATCGGGCGAGGAGCCCCTCTGGCGTCGCCTCGCCATGGCAGCGCTCCTGCTGCCGAGAGGGCGAGGCCTCCGCGCCCTTCGGGGCGGCGCGCCGCGGGGGCCCGCTGGGCTCTCCCGCGAGGTCGCCCTAATGGTGCAGAAGCTCGGGGGCCCGCGGGCCATCGCGAACCCACCGGGCGCCCGGCGCCCGATTCGGGCCAGGGGCGGGGGGGCGGGGCGTGGAGAGCCGGCAGACGGAGACGCTTCCGCACCCAAAGCGACGGCCCGCATGGAGTCCACGGCGCGGCGCAGGAGGCGAAGGAGTCGACGAGCCGCGCCCCGCGCGGCCCAGGCGCTCGGCGAGTCAAGACGCGCCCCCCAGGGGGGGGTCGCTCGCCCGCTGGCGCGCCGACCAGGCCTGGGCGTTGCCGCGACCTCCGCGACAAGAAGCGCCCCCGCGGCCGCGCGCCGCCCCCGCTTCGGCGGGCAGAGTCGGCCGCGCGCCGCCCCCGCTTCGGCGGGCAGAGTCCCAAGTGGCCCGAGTCAGCGTCGAGGCCGGAACCTCGCGCGGGGCGCGAAGGAATGGGTGCGGCTATTATTTCGGCCAGCGGTCGGGCCTGCGTTCACGGCGCAGGTGGCGGGGGCTGTTCGAGGCCCGCGCGGTCCCGCCTGCGAGGAGGCCCGCTCGTTTCGGGGCCCGGGGGGGGGGGGCTGGCCTGGGCGCCCGTCGCGCGCGCCGCCCCTGCGGAGGTCAACGGGGTCGCCTCTGCGGCGGCCTCCTGGGAGCCGGACGGCGCTGAATTCGCGGGCGCCCGACTGGCGCCGGGCATTGGGGCTCAGTGAGACATGGGGATGGAAAGCGCCGGTCCGACGCCTAGTTGGGCGTGCGCGGGGCCGGGGTGACTGGGGCCCCCCTCTGCCAGAACTGGGAGGGGCGCGCCGCCTTTCAGGTCGGCCCGGTCTGACTCGGGTAGACGCGATTTAGTGTGTTAGGCGCGCTTGAGGAAGTCGCGGCTCCCGTCCGAGCGCGGTGGTCGATGAATTCGTGTTTAAAGTTCACGTGGTTCCAACGTATCTCCAGTGTCCAACGCGCGTTGCTTCTCATGCGTCGAACGCGTGGCTTCGTCGTGTATATCTGACGCGCGCGCAACGCGGCTATGTTTAATTTTGAAATCTGCGCGCGATTGGAAACATCAGCGCAGGCCCTCCATTATAGCCGAGAGCAGAGCAAAATAACGCATCTTCGCATGCAAGAGATGTGACAAGCACGG